CACACACACACACACACACACACACACACACACACACACACACACACGGGAGATACTGAGGAGATAGTTCAGTAAGTAAGACCATTTTCTGCACAAGCCTGAAGACCTGAGTTCAAATCCCCCAGGACCTATGTAAGAGGCTGGGCATGGCTGTACACATATGATACCAGTACTGTGGGGAGAAGAGACAGGAGGATATTTGGAACTTACTGTCTGCCAGCCTAGCTCTAGGAAATAGGCAGAGAATGTCAGAGCAAGGCACTTAATGTCCTCGTGCTGGCCTCCACTTGTGTGTGCACACACATTTCATATTCTTTCTCTGTCTCTTTCACACACACAAACACAACAGTATGTTTTTTAAGGAACCTGGAATTGTACATGTAGCTACCTTGCTAGGTACCTTTAGGGGGAGACAGTAGAGAGTAGTCAGCTCTAGTGGTGTAACTATCAGAACCCTTCTTCTGATGCCACCAGATGGCCACTTAAGTGATGTGTGAGGAAGTGTTCCCACAGGGAAGGAGAAAAAGGGGACACAGATCAGCACCATCTGGAGCTGGGGCCGTGGGGCACAATGCTAGCTTTCTGTTCCCTTACTCCCCACTACCAGCCCCTCTGATGACACTCAAGCACACCTAAACCCTCCTTCAGAAGGTGTCTTCTGGCTACCTCTGGCTCTTGCACTTCTCCTTGAGTGTCTATGGAGTGGCCTAGGAGTGAGCCACCCACGTAGTCTCCATGGGCAGCTGTGGGAGGTGAGGGGCCCCGTTCCAAGTCCTAATCAATTAACAAGGGTGACTATTATAGAAAAGCTGCTTGGACTTGAAGTCCCTCCCCCAGCCCTCCTTCCAGCCCTCCTCTCTGTGATGCTCAGAGGAGGAAAGGGTTCTCGAGAGCCTCACACACCCGCCTGCAGAAAGATTTCATGATAATATACAGCTTCCGCACTCTTTCCTTCAGAGCGTCCACTTCAGCCACTTTCCAGCATTGAGGAGAGGCCACAAACTCCCGCAGCTTGGCCAGCACACAGGAATTCTGAGAGTGGGAGCAAGAGGGGGCTGTAAGAGAAGCAGGAACCAGAGGGCCAGGGACTGAGCTCTTGAGCCCTTCAATAAAGCATAAGAGCTCTCCTCAACTCCGGCTGCCCCCTCAGGCCAGGAGCAGAGGTAATTCACCTCCACCTACCCAACCCCAGTCCACCCCTCTCCCTGCCACCCTACCCCATCCCTTCCCACCAGGCATCACTCTCTTACATGGATGTCCAGGTAGAGCCAGGGCAAGTACCTCACACATGGATCCTGCAGGAAGGAAGCAAGTGGATGGGACACCCGTAGGGACAGCTTGGTCACAATCTGCTTTCTGCTAGCTGCCCCAGACAATAGCTCCAGAACTTTTTTTTTCTTTTTTCCTGATGACAGGGCATGTACAGCATGTCTTGCCTCATGCAGGATCTTACTTCAGAGTAGAGTCTTTACAATACTGTGAATTAGCACACTGTTTTACGCAAGCACATGTGTACAAGCATGCACAAACATAGGTAGGACATTATATAGCACTGTAGACATAATGTATTCATATACACAAGCTTGCTTGGCAGCAGCTAGCTGCATGAAGAGTACATACATACATCTATCTTAATGTATTTATCTCTATAAGAGATTTAATCTGTAAGACAGAACATATCACACAAAGAGGTGTGTGTGTGTGTGTGTGTGTGTGTGTGTGTGTGTGTGTGTGTGTGCAGGACCAAAGGCCTGCACATCTCCTGTCCTCCCCTCTAGGAACCTCTGTGGGACCTGGGGCTGCTCCTTTCTTTCTTGTGACCCAGTTCCTCAGCTGTGAATTAGAAGAGTGAGCAGTTTGTCTTCCACTTCATCCCACTCTGTGGCTCTGAGCCTCTGCTCTTACTTTCTAGCACCAGATACCAGATGTCTCTAAGGTCAGTGCTGTGTTCAAAGAAGTGTTGCAATTGCATGGTGGTGTTAATAAGCAGCTTGCAAAGCCACTGGTGTTATGTAGTCCGTGTTCCACCACCATCACCACCACCACCACCACCACCACCACCACCACCACCACCACCACCAGCACCTGCACGGAGTGAATGCTGCCCTCCAATTGTTATAGCAGCCGTTGACTCTAGGTGGCAGGATCACAAACACCATTTTTTTTTCCTGGTCCTTTGTGCATTTTCCTGCTATGCTACAATCTATCATGTTTAACACGAGGCATTAATGGATGCCATTTAACTTTTGAAAAGAAAATGCAGAGTGTTAAGATACTATGAGCCCCAATACCTGAGTAATGTTGGGGTCTGCTTAAAGCATATGCAAGCAGCATACAGTCCTGAAGTTTACCCAGTCTCTCAGTGGAATGGAATATGTTTTGCTTCTACTAGAGATAAGCAGGCAGAGGACCCTGACTCTCTCTCTCTCCCTTGCAGCACTCCTCAGGGGATGCCCTGAGTTACTGGGGTCTTCCTCTGGAGATAGGGCTAACAGCCTTAACACTTGCCCTGTGTCCCTGTGGTTAATCCGTTCAGCCCCATTGCACCCAGGGAGATGTAATTATCCTCCTTTTTTTACAGAGAAGGAAGCTGAGATGGGGGGGAGGTTGAGTAATTGTCCCACAGTCCCTCAACAGCTAAGGAGTGTGTCACACCCCCCCACCTTGGCATACATTATTGGCCATCAGGCTAATGACAGAACTAAATGAGCTTAATTCAATAGTTCTGTATAACTCAACCTCTAGTGTCTGTAGGGAGCTCTGTCTATCTATCTGTCTGTCTATTTTTCATCTATCTATCTTCCCAAGGCAGGAGAGGCAAATGAGGACCTTACCTCAGGCTCTGAAGTCTGCAGGCTTTGGAAGTCTGCCATGATCTCACGGCTCAGGGTCAGCATCCTGAAGTAGCAGGTTGGGGGTGCAGGCTGTACTGCCAGAGGCCAGGCCATCACCATCAGCAGCAGCGGCAGCAACAGAGGCAGTATCCTGGGTGCCATGGTGCCTGCTGTCTGCTGCTGGGCCAGCTGCTTTAAACAGCTGCTGGGGGATTGCCATGGCTCAGGCTCTCCACCTTTTTCCTGTGGGCCCCCAGCCAGGGCCGGTAATCCAAAAAGGGTGGGACCAAGAATATGACACACCCATAGTGTCTGGGACACTGGATTCTTTGAGAAGGAAACTGTAGTAATGGGGGGGGGGGGGGGTGTTGCAGGGTTGGGGGGCTGGAGGCACTGAGAAGGGAAACAGGCATTCACTTTCTACGAGAAATTTCTCTCATGGCAGAAAGGGTAGTTGAGAGGATCAGAGGGGAATCCTGGAGAGGTGGAAGAATGGGAGACTGGATCAGAGGTCAGGAAGGAGCAGTGTTGTCCAGTGTCATAATGGGGACTGTTTCCTAAGATTGGCTGATCTCCTGAAGCAAAATCTGCTGCTCAGGACAATGTGTAGGTCTGGGATCAAGCAGACTATGTACTATCCTCCACAGAGCAGCCACTGGGCAGGATGGAGACTGTCGAATACAGTTCTGATTCTGGAGGAGAGACTTCCTCTGCACTTCTGGCTCTCAGCTGTGTGGACCATCACTGAGTCCTCACTATGGGCCCCAGAGGACAGAGAAGAAAAAGCCTGTTTCTTTTTATAGAAGCAGAACGACACCCACATTTAGGTGCTGAGGTGCAGAGTGGCTCCCCCCCTTTCCCCCCCCCCCCCCAGGCCAGCCACAGCCTTGGATCAATTTATTAAATCTTCTTCACTTTCCTACTGAGTGCCATGGACTGACAAATGACCCTAGCTCAGGCCACAGTGAGGAATAGTCAGGACACTGCACAGGCCAGGCAGAGCTTGTGCCAGGAACGTGGTGCCAACCCAGGAGTCACCAAGACTTCTGAGCTATGCTAAAGTCTAACCTTGCCAGAGGAAACAATCCTAAAGAGGGAGGTTGGTACTCCCAGGAACCAGTGTGTTGCTTTGATAGTAGCACTCATCAGGGTAACTGCAGCTACAGGAGCTTTAAAGAAGCACAGTAAAGAAGTACAGTGCGTGGGGCTCACTGTATTCCCAGGCAAGAAATCAGAGGGTCTCTGGCAGTATGACACTGGGTGGTGGCACCAGGGTCCTGGACCTATGTCTGGAACTGCTGACATCAAAGCCTTCTGCATCTAGGGGCCTGGCTGAGCTGTCCATTTGATGACCTCAGCGGCAGAAACAGAGCATAATGTCCCGGATGCTGGCAGGACTGAGGTAGCCTCAGAGATGAATACCTGTCTCCATGTTTGTGGGAGAATCCCTCCCCAGACTTGGCGCCTGTTCCCTGTTTATAAACAGGTGGCTTTACCCTGGGCAATGTCTGCTATCCCTGCCAGTCCCCACATTTTGTTTATTTATTTCCTGATGCTCATAGCCCTGGGTAGGGATCATAAGCTGCCCTTTCCTGTTTTGAAGGCAGCAGTGTGTTCCCTAAAATCCTTCAGAGACTTGACCTTGGACCTGGGCAAGCAGTGCTCGGTGGGCAGAATAGTGTGTGTGTGTGTGTGTGTGTGTGTGTGTGTGTGTGTGTGTGTGTGTATGTGATGGGGGTGGATTTCCTCTGCAAGTTGAATCTGCATGCTCTGGCCTTCCTGATGCGGGGTCTGTGTGGCTCCTGGCAAATGTGTCCCTGGCCAGAGACTGCAGGTCTGTTTGAAATGTCACAGGACTTCCGGATGTGTACAACACTAACCTCAAATCCAGGACACAGGGAGAATCAAACCCAGACTCCAAACAAGTTCTCCACAACAATTTCTCGTCACACTGCTGAGAAGTATAGTCCTCAGGGTGTTTGAGCAGAGACTGTGTCCCGGAAAGCCTGATCCTGTTCTTCCAGGATGCCACTCGGGGCTGTGAGCAAAGCTTCTTTTATGATTCAGATGAAGCTCCAAGGTAGCTCCCAGGCCTGGCACTCAGAATGCACATGTCCTGTTTATGGATTGAATGAGTGGCTGGCTGGTCTCTTGGTGGACACTGATCCTGGATCAGGCCTGGTTGATGTTGAAGCCCTGAGAATCACAATCCAGTGGTAGACAAGGAATCAGGGTACAAGGTACTCGGCCAGGCTCACAGGGGCCCTGCATGAGCAACTTGCATAATTCTGTGTGAACAGACAGGGGGCCCCCCTACTCCTCCAGAACTGTATAAGTGCCCCAGACCACTTCCTTGGAACACAGAGCAGAGAAGGGACAGCCCTTGTGGAGTCCAAGGACTGTCTGGGTACATCGGAGGTATTCTATCCCCACCTTGTATCCTGAGTGTGAGTTGGCTATTGTGTCCTCAAGGACTGTTCCTCCTCTTGAATGGACAACCATTGTATGTGTGTATGTGTGTGTGTGTGTGTGTGTGTGTGCGTGTGTACTCACTTATGTTCATGTGTATGTTTATGTGTGTGTGGAAGCTGAAAGTCAACATCAGGTGTCTTTTCCAGTCACTTAACTTTTTGAGACAAGCTCTCCCATTGACCTGGGATTCACGAATTCAGCTAGGTTGGCTGGCCACTGAATTTGGGGCTCATGGTGTCCCTGCCTTGCCAGCACTGGGATTACAGGCACACACTGTCAAGCACATCACTTTTTTATGTGGATGTTGGGTCCTCAGGCTTGCATGGGAACTTTACTGACTGAGTCATCTCCTCAGCCCTGGAGCACTGACATTTTCATCTTGATGCCCATAGTGTCAAGGCCACTCTTGTTAAGCAAACATCAGGACACATTATGCTAAGAAACCTACATAATGTATATGGCTGCAAACACTCTCCCTTTACCCCTTACTCCTGTCCTAAATGCCCAGGAAGCATCTGGCGTTTTGCAAACTGTGTCTAAAGACATGCACGCGCACATGCTACTCAAATGTCCCACCCCAACCCATCCAAACTCTTTCCCCATATTTCTGTGACTTCTTTAGCACAGTAAATTGCTCCAATAATAAGGCCATCAGGGAGCCCACTGTATGCCTCCCAAGACCTCTCCCATTCCCCACAGAGTCTCAGATGAGGTCCAGACCTCTCTGGACATCATTTCTGCCAAAAATGCTGCAGAGTGACAGAGCCTGAGGCTGTCTGGGTAGATACTGGTTATCTTCTCAAGCGGTTCTTCCTGTAGAGGCCAGGCACAATGCTTCTCAACCACTGTGGGCCCTTCTGGATGAAACGGTGAACCAAAGAGATTCTGTTGTCCTCATGGAAAGGACATATCGAGCAAGGGACAGCAGAAACATTGTGCTTCAGAGCTCCTCAAGTAGGACCCTGACCCACTGGTCAGCCTTATAGCAGCTCCATTCTATCCTAGACTTGAGTAATGCAGAGAGTACAGAGGTGTATGTGTGTGTGTGTGTTTGTGTGTGTGTGTGTGTGTGTGGATTTGAATATGCAATGTCCCCCACATGTCCACATGTTTGAACACCTGTTTCCCAGAAGACAGTACTGTTTAAATGGTTGTAGAGCCTTTAGGAGGTGGGGCCTAGCTGTGGCCAGCCTTTGAGAGTTATGGAGCAGCCCAGTTTCCTGTCCCTTCTTTGCTTTCTGGTTTGTTTGTGTTGTGGGGGGTGCTCCTGCTTGGCTGAGCAGCTCTTTTCACTGTGCTGGTCCTGCCATGATGAACTGAAGTACTCCGAATCCAGGTGCTCTGATCAGTTTTCCTCCTGGAGGTTGTTTCTGTCAGGTATTTGGTTGTTCCTGTAAGAAAAGTCCTAGTGTAGGATGGAGGCCTAGAGGTCTCCATAATGTTCACTATGTTCACAGGAAGAAAACTATCACGGCTTAACTTCAAATGTGTTTTGTGGTCTCTTCTAAACACCATGCTGAATTGTAATTACCACTGTGTTTACTGGGAAGGGTTAAGTCATGAAAACCATGTCCTCAGGAATGGACTATGGCCCTTCTCTGGGGAGGGGGCTAGTTATTTTGTACAGGTTTATCAGAGTTCCCTGTCAACTGCCCTTTATACCCTGCTCATGGACTCTCTGCTTCCAACCATGGGAGCTCCAATATAAGAGATGTCAGTGCCATGGACTTCTTGGCCTACAGAACCATGAACCAAATAAGAGTCTATTGTTTATAAATTACAGAGAGCTGGGTGTTTCACTACAATTACAGCAAATGGGTGATGGCAATTTGTGTTCTGTCTGCCACCTTGGGTTTTCAGGGTTTGGATCCTTTTTAGTCATTCTGAAAGAAGAATATTTGGCTTTCATGCTTGTCTGTTCAGATGCTGGTGGCCAGCAAAATGTTCTTTCCTCAGCCCCAAGGGGTTATGGGAAAGTCCTGGTGAGACCATAAGAAACAGGAAGTCACTATTTGCTCTGGCCCTGTGTAACTTGGCCACGACACAGAATAGCCATCCCACATGGTTTTTGTGCTCCTGTCCTATTATGAGAACATCCAATGGCCAAATCAATATCAGTGTTTCTCTCTTGTCTCATCCATAGCCAGTGATCATCACGGCCAGTGATGGAAGGGTCCAGGGCAGAAGATGGCACGCTGTGTCAAAGCCAGCACTGGAGGCCACCACCAAATCAAAGAGCCACTTTTGAGTCTCCCCATTTTCTGTAATTGATGCCAGGGACCAGTGATTGGTGGGTGGTCCCACCCTAATGGAGACGTTCAGTTGGTCCTGAGGTGGAACAGGCAGTGCAGTCAGCCAGGATGCAGTTTGCAGGGCTCCTATTGACGACAGCTTCCCTATGTTTGTGGGACATGTTTTGGAGCTATGGCTGTGTGGCTCTTGGCAAACTTGGTGGAAAGTTGACCCACCCGGTCCCAAGTAAAGGAATAAAGACAAACACTGGGCTCTGTTGTGGGCAGGGATTTTGAAAACATCTTCTTTTGGAGGAAAGAACTCCAAATGCTTCCAAACTTGGGTTCAAGCTCTAATGGCAGTGGCCCCAAGAGGAGAGCTGCCCCAACATTTCTCACCATGCTGTTTCTGCAAAGAGGACGAGGCAGAAGCCTTCCAAGAAGCCTGGCTTAGTTCTG